AGATTCTTGGGGTACTTGGCTGGCTCAGTTGGAAGGGCATGTGACTCCTGACCTTGAGGGTCATGAGTTTGAGCCCCACATTGGGTATAGAGATTACTAAAAACAAAAAAATAAATAAATACATTTTAAAAACTTAAAAAAATAAAAGATTCTTGATTTAACTGCCAAATTTTTAAGTTACTGTATTCTTTACATATCAGAGCTACCGTAATCAATTATTAGTAAAAAATCAGGCCCTTAATTGGCAATTTGAAAACTAGATATGTCTTCTCACCCAGCCTGTGCCTATAGTATAGTAGAACAAATTAGCTCTGTTCATGAATTTTATCTTTCATATTTTCTTAGGCCATTTAAGTAAACTTTTATTGATGTAAGCATAAAAGAAGGGCACAAATCATAGTTTATACCAATTTTGAAATTTATCTGCAATAATATGCATAGGTTTCTTATAATATAGGCCCATCTTATTAGACATTTTACATCACATATATTTAAGAAAGTGGAGAGCAGGAAATACCTGTATAACTTTCCTTCTATGTAATTAGATGCTTTTTATGTTGATAATTAAAGTCTAAGTATTTACAGATTTAGAGTTCTGCCTGAAGTTTTTCTTTTTATGTGTTTTTAAGGCTCCACAATTTTTAATGTTCTCAGAGGAATTTTAGAGGTGGTAATTGGTATGGCAACTGGATCTCTTCTTGGATTTTTTATTCAGTACTTTCCAAGCAGTGACCAGGTAAAAGAAATAATCTATGGGAAAGTCATGCTCTAAAATGTCATTGGAAAAACATTCTGGAACAGTCTCCTGAACGTGAAGAACACGATTTAGAAAATGGCCCCCCATTGTAAAACTGCTTATTCCCAAATCAATGCTATCCATGAGATGTATGAACAAGGCTAGATGTGCAGTTGACCCCTGAACAATGCAGGGATTAGGGGCACTGACCCTGTGCACAGTCAGAAATCCATGTATAACTTTTGACTCCCAAAAACTTAATTACTAATAGCCTGCTGTTGACTAGAATCCTTTCTGATAACATAAACAGTTGATTAACACATATTTTATATGTTGTATGTACTATATACTGTATTCTTATAATAAAGTAAGCTAGAGAAAAGAAGATATTATTAAGAAAATCGTAAAGGAAATACATTTATAGTAGTGTACTGTATTTATCAAAAAAAAAAAAAATTTGCATGTAAGTGGACCATGCAGCTCAAATCTGTGTTAAGGGTCAACTGTATAAGGTTTTAATGCAATCCTAAAATTTTTACTCTAATGTATATTCTATAAACTTACATTTCACTGAAAAATAAATAACATCATTTCCAGAATATGCAAGCAATCCTTTCTTTTTGTTTTTATTTTTTATTTTATTATTATTATTAATATTAGCTAAGTCAAGATGTAAAATGGCTTTGCGGCCCTCTTTTTAGTATCAGCATATCTTAGATTATAATACTACCTATACCTTAACATCTCATTGTAATATAGTCTAGTATTTGTCACCAAGATGATCAAAGTTCTTTACTCATCACAATAATTTCATAATATTCACAGAGAGTTTTTTTGTTTTGTTTTCCTTTACCCTCCTAAGTCTCTTGGGATAGACAAACATATAAGAGTCTTTGTTTTCCTATAAGAACTGGCATTATTTTGAAATTTCAGAGAATTTTGAATGGAAATATAAACTTAACTAAAGTAGAACTTTAAAAAAATTAATATTTCCATTATAAGAAAGTATGATGAGTTGGATTTTTACTATGCTCCAAAACCCTCCAACTAAAATTGTAAAAAATTTTATGAATGCATAAAAGAAAATTATAGGATTTTCTAATTACACAACAAAATAAAGAGTGATGGCTTACATTTTGTTGCTTACTGTATATAAAATGATATAGTAAGTACAATAAAGTGCCACTACATTCAATATGGTAGCCACCAGCTACATGTGGCTATAGCAGATAGAGAACATTTCAGTGGTGCAGATGTAGAAATTTCCATCATCACTGGATGTTCTTTTGGGAAGCACTGATCTAGTACAATCATATAAACTCATGTAATCTAGTGTAAACCACATAAGACCCATGAAGAGAATACTATTAATAGTATTCATCAGTACCTTTCTACTGATGAGGAGATTGAGATTTAAGAAGTAACTTGAACGAGTTCATATAGCTAGAAAGCAGCAGAGCTGGGAGTGAACTCTAGTAATCCTGAGCCTGGATGCTTCCAAGTCAAGCACTTCTAAAGACCTACTTGCCTTCTAAAGTGATCAAGAAGTTTAGGCCATGGGAAACATTTTTCTAGATATGTCTTCTAAGGCAAGGGAAACAAAAGCAAAAATAAGCTATTGGAACTACATCAAAATAAAAAGCTTTTGCACAACAAAGGAAACCATTAACAAACCTAAAAGACTAAAACCTACTAAATGGGAGAAAATATTTGCAAATGATGTATCCAAGAAGGCTTAGTATCCAAAATATATAAAGAACTTATACAACTCAACACCTATATATATATATATTCTGGTACTCTGCCCATTTTTAATCGGAATATATATATATGTATATATATATATATATGTATATACATGTATATATGTATGTATATATATGTATATACATGTATATATGTATGTATATATATATATATGTATATACATGTATATATGTATGTATATACATATATATATATTCCGATTAAAAATGGGCAGAGTACCAGAATGGACATTTTTCCAAAGAAGACATAATATATGGCCAACAGACACATGAAAAGATGTTCAACATCACTAACCATTAGGAAAATGCAAATCAAAACCACAATGAGTTATTACTTTACACCTGTCAGAATGGCTAACATCAAAAAGATAAGAAATAACAAGTATTGGATACAGAGAAAATGGAACACTGCACGGTTGGTGGGAAGGTAAACTGGTACAGCCACTGTGGAAATCAGTGTGGCGGTTCCTCAAAAAATAAAATATAGAATTACCATATGACTCAGTAATTCTACTACTGGGTATCTACTCAAAGAAAACACTAATTTGAGAAGATTATGAACCCCTGTATTTATTGCAGTATTATTTACAATAGCCAAGATATGGAAGCAACCTAAGTGTCCATCAATAGATAAATGCTAAGGAAGGTGTGATATATATACAATAGAACATTGAACAGCCATAAAAAAGAATGTGATCTTGCCATTTGCAATAACATGGATGGATCCAGAGGGTATTATGCTAGTAAATAAGTCAAACTGAAAAAGACAAAGAGCATATGATTTCACTCACATGTGGAATCTAAAAACAAAACAAATGAATAAATAAACAGGAAGAAGAATCATGTTTAGAAAAAAAAATGAGGAGAGCATGGCATTAAGGAGTAACCAGCCTAAAAATACTAGAGATATCACATCTTTAACTTTCACAAAAACACTGTGACAAAACTGCTTTCAGGGAGGAGAAGAAAAAAAGCCTGAGGAAGCTAAGTTATGTGACCACTACATATGCCAGTAGTGTAAAAGAGCTAGAATTTTAACTCTGGTCTGTCTGGCTCCAAAGCCCATGCACTTTTTTCTACTATTGCATTCAGCCCTGTGAAATTCTGCTTGGATAACTGCAGGAGAATACAACTAGTGTTCTTGGAAGAGGAAGCTGCATTTGTCCATGTGTTGACTCTACTTTTATTAAGGAAAAGAAAGTAAATGTCATGGCATGCATTTATTTGCCTAGACAGACATTTTCATTTTCCACTAAGTCCTGAATATAGAAAAAGCAATCATTAAAAATCAGTTATAGGAAATAATTGAGCTAATCAACCTTTCTTTTTCTCCTCAAGGACAAACTTGTGTGGAAGAGAGCATTCATTGTTTTGGGGCTGTCCATACTAGCTGTGTTCAGCAGCGTGTATTTTGGTTTCCCTGGGTCAGGAGGATTGTGTACACTGGTCATGTCCTTCCTTGCAGGTTTGAGATGGGCCGGCGAAAAGGTGAATTTCAAGTTCTTCTCATTTAAGTTCTTTCTGATCAGAGTAAATTTTTTTCTTTACAGATGTTTCCTAATATCAAATTAATAAAATTATTTAATCACAAAAGCTATTTTCTATGCATATGTAAATGTATGCCCAAGCGTACACACAGACATCCTTTTCCCCCTTATATACCAATCTGTAATTTGATGACTTAAAAATATATTATGGTCATATTTCCATGCTGCCTCCCTATTCTTTGTAAGGGCTACGGCTACAGAGTATTGCATGGTATAGCTGTCCTATATTTAACCAGTCTCCTGATAACAGATTTTAAATTGTTTCTGGTTTTCTACTAAGACAAAAAGTATTTCGGTAAAATAACCTACCTATGCCATATTTCATTAACTCTAAGATGCTATCAAATCTAAGAAGCACCATTTTACATGCTACCAAGAAAGAAAAAAGAATACTGCCTATTAAACTATGACATGACATCCTAATTTCAGAAATTTTAAAATGTGAAAAAAAATCAACAAAATACAACATATGTTTGAGTTTATCTGTAGGATAAATTTCCAGAAACAGGATTGCTCTATGAAGGCGTATATACGTTGATATTTTGATAATATCAATTTTCCCTTTTAAAAGACTGCGCCAGTTTATATTTTCACCAACAGTATGTGAAGATCTGTCTTTCTGATCTGAGTATTTTCAATCTTCAGATATTTTGCTAATCTGATAGGTTAAAAATGTATCTCATTATTGATCTGAATTACATTTCTTTATGAGCGAAGCTAATCATCTTTTCCTGTGCTTACTAACCGGTTTGCTCAAAAGCCTGTGCCTATTTTTTTAAAAGGTTGTTTTGGTTTTTCTTATTGATTTTCATGATCATTAAGATTATTGATTTTTTTGATATGTACTATGGAAATTAGCTGGTTGTTATTTACTAATTTTAATTTCAAGTTACATCCTTATAGATTTGAACTTGACAGCAGCATATGCTATTCTGTTTAATGGAGAAATTAGATGTAGGTGACCCACCTAAATGCAGCTATATCATTTTGGACAACCTGGAAACAACTGTTCAAAATAATTAAGCTTAAAATAATGCCACATGGAAAAATATGTGAGGGTTAAAAAGCTGGAGGTTAGGTATATAATCAAATTCAATTGAGTGAATCTCTGCAGAGGTAGAATAGAGACAGAATTTCCCTGTGAGTAAAGAACACTCAGATAGGAGGCTCTCACTATGTAATCTATGATTACAAAGTTAAGACAAGTATAACTGAATTGTCTTGCTTCAGAGGAGACAAATGGTAGGGACAGCCTGGAGCATTGTGTAGAGAACGGTATTGAAGCCACCAGAAAGTACATGGAGATGGATTGGGCTTCGAAGAAAGTAGAGAGTCCCTTTGAAACTCTGCTCCATGCACTAGATGCACCCCTTGGTTTGCTGCCTTGCAAGACTCTTGGCTACAAGTCTTATTTCAGGTCTACTTTTTTCTTTCCTAGCAACACCTATATTACTCAATTCTACTTTCTGATTTCAAGTAACCTAACATTTGACCAGAGCAGAGCTACAGAATAAACAAACTTCCTAGCATAAATCAGGTACTCTTATCATCCCTTGTCTCCCATAAGCATTTGCTCTTATCAAAACATTTGTTTTTCCATGGCTTCACTTTGCTTGTGGGCTGAAGCAGAGTTATCACCTATCACTGGTCAGTCTTCTATCTAATCTCAGCTCTGGACTTGAAGGCTATACTGCCTCCTTTGCTTCTCTCTGTGGATTCACTGCTCTCTGTCTTGGGTCCTCCCCAGGGCTGCTGACAAATGTGCCCTACTCTTTGAAGCGCTCTGATCAATTCTCTGCCCCAGGACCGAGGTCACAGTTTCACTTTAGTGGAAGATGCTGCTACATTCACGTTGTGAATGTAGCACAACACTTTTCTTTGTCCAACACTTGGGAAGTTTGCCTGCATTGGCATTTTACAAATTGTCCATTCACTTCTTAATAGTAATCTTTTTTTCAGCATTAAAAACGTAAATTACCAAAGACAGTAATTTTTAAAATAAAATTAACTTTATTTTAACTTTTATGAAGGTACTATATGCTCACTTTTTAACTTTGGAGGTGGAAAATCTGAAAGAAAAGGAAAGAAATCATTTGCAGTTCCTCCATCTAAAGCCAACAGCTCTGTAAACTATTTAAATATTTTAGTTTATTTCCTTTCACTTATTCAACAAGAAAACTCTCAAAAATGCTCATAATAAGCTTTTTCAAACTGAACTTTATGGATAACTGTTTTTATGTTGTCACCCCCTTAAAAATCTTCGAAAATGACAGCCAACTCATTATTTCATACTGTAACAGGTAAAAAGAGGAAAGGGAACTAATAGTTTGTTCTTTTTTAATATTTCTTTTTATAATCTTAATTTGATAATTAGATTATTTCATGTTTTTAAGTTTTCATTTAAATTCAAGTTAGTTAACATACAGTATAATATTAGTTACAAGGGTATGATACAGTGATTCAACACTTCCATATAACACCCTGTGCTCATCACAAGTGCACTCCTTAATCCCATCACTTCTTTTACCCATCTCACCACCCACCTCCCTCTGGTAACCATCAGTTTGTTCTCTATAGTTAAGAGTCTGCTTCTCGGTTTGTCTCTGTCTCTCTTTTTTTCCCCCTTTTTCCTTTTGTTTTGTTTCTTCAGTTTCATATATGAGTGAAATCATATGATATTTGTCTTTCTCTGACTGATTTTGCTTAGCATAATACTCTAGCTCCATCCATGTCATTATAAATGGCAAGATTTCATTCTTTTTATGGCTGAGTAATATTCCATTGTATATATACTACATTTTCTTTATTCAGCCATCTATCAACAGACACTGGAGCTGTTTCCATAATTTGGCTATTTTATATAATGCTGCTATAAACATCAAATTAGTGTTTTTGTATTCTTTGGGTAAATATTTACTAGTCCAGTTGCTGGATCATAAGGTAGTTCTACTTCTAACTTTTCAAGGAACTTCCAAACTGTTTTCCACAATGGCTATACCAACTTGCATTCCCACCAACAGTGTAAGAGGATTTCTCTTTCTCCACATCTTCGTCGACCCCTGTTACTTCTTGTATTATTGATTTTAGCCATTCTGATACGTGTGAAGTGATATCTCATTGTGGTTTTGATTTGCTTTTCCCTGATGATGAGTGATGCTGAACATTCTTTCATGTGTCTGTTGGCCATCTGTATGTCTTCTTTGGAGAAATGTCTATTCATGTCTTCTGCCTGTTTTTTAGTAAATTTTTTTGGCCAGTCTGTATGACTGTATGCTGGGCACTAAGTGGATGTTCTCATTTATTTTCACACACACAAAATAAACTTTAAAAAGTATTACCATTTCTATTTTATAGAGACTATAAATCAGAAAGACATAAATAACGTGTCCAAAATCACAAAATTAGAAAGTGGCACTGTGATTTAAGCTCAGGTTTACCTGACACCAGAGTTACTACTCTGTGATACAACTGTAGCATTGTTGTTCAGGGCACATTTTTATATTTTTGACATCTATTTGAATAACACATACCAAGTACCTTAGAAACATTATATTTCTACACTTTGCACTTCAAAATTAAGTCTCTAAATCCCTAAGTGATAGGATAAAAAATAAACAATGAAAGGGGCCATATCATTTGGAATGGAACATATAAGAGTAGTTTTAGCAACAGGGAAATCAAAGGGGAGATTAGTGCCTGTTGCAAGTGGGCATTAGCTATGGGCACAGAAAGACACAGCAAGGCAAGGGAAACTTTGACCAGTTCCAGTTATACCACTCTTCTCAAAAACTGGGAATTATAGAGAAAAGATCATTATAAACCAAAACACAGCATCTGTTAGTCTGCGTTTGTCATAATTTTGCCTGAATTGCCTTCAACCCAGCTGAACATAGGTCCATGTAATCCTACAACCCAGTGGAAGAACTAAGAACACTTTTTTCATATGTACCTCTGGTAACTCTCATATATGGATCTCTTTACCTTACACACACACACACACACACACACACACACACACACACACTTTTTTTTAACCATTATACTCTATACAAAGCTAAATCCTTAGCCATAGAATACACTCAGTAAATAATAATATAATCCTTATTATTTTGTAACTACTTTGTAGAGCAATACAATATAATAAAAAGAGCTTAAAATTTAAGATAAAGTAATTGGGATTCCAATCCCAATTGTACTGCTCTGTAGCTGTATAATCCCCCCAAACTTACATGCCTTCTCTATTACTCTGTTTTCTCAAACTGTAATAGGAAGAAAATAATAATAATATCAAAAGAATAGTGACTACTATGTAGGAAAACAGATACGAAACAATTGTAAACTCAACAGTGCTATATCAAGGCTGGTTTTGAGTTATAATTTGAAAAGCTAAAATATGTTATAAAACTTTGTTTATGCTATAGTTTTCTGACATTATTTCATACTTCTTTACTTGGTTTTTCCATATATCATTAATCTTGCCATTTATTGTATTCAAATACGCTCACCTTTTTACAGCCTCTGTCATTTTTTTTCATCTATTTTCAAATCCAGTGCTTCTTCTGAAGACCTTTGTAGCTGTGGGATGGTTTTTCTGACATATTTTGAATCTTCTGAATCTTTAAATACTCTTTCTGAGAAGGGAGGTATCAGCTTACGTAGGTATTTAAGTCATGGTAAAACTTCCATTTCTGCTCATTTTCTTCCTTTGTCCATCCTTGAAAGTGATTTATGTTTTTGAAGATTCTTGCTACTGCTACAAACAGATGTATAAAGTAGCCTTAAACATTTAGTGTGGACAACGTAGTTTTCATTCCTCTGCTCTCTTTTACACTTAGCCTATTTGATGACTCCGTTTTCTTTATAAGCACATTCATTTTGAAGTTATGAGAAAGCATTAAGAGGGTACGTTTTGACTCTTCTCCCATTTTTAAGTCTTACAATATATAAACCTATGTCTGATGTTCAACTAGTCTAAAGCATTACAATCAAAAAAACAAACGGTGGCCTTTGTCTACAGTTTAGAAATGAAAATAATTGGATGGAGAAAGCTTTTTAGGCCATCTGCTTTCATTGGAGTTCTGAGTACATTAAATATTTTTGAGGCCTTCCCTTAAATAATTAGTCATGGTAACAAAAGGCTAAGTAACCTAAGATTAATAGAGTTGATTTTTGTTCTGCACTAATGTGGATAGCAACTAAAGTCTGAGCTATACCTATGATATACTCTAAAAACTAAATTAAAAAGTAAAATTTAAAGATACGTAGAAAGGTGGGCAACTGGACTCCAGTTTTGGTAGGACAATTTAATTGTCATTAAATAATAAAAGATCTTGGATGTTATATAAACTTCCCATTTTACAAATGAGAAGAAAATAAGGCACTGAGGGACAAGTGGCTTGCATTTAGCAGGTGGCAGTATTTGACCCTAAGTTGTTATCTGATTCCTTATGATATGAAAACATAACTCTTTGCATGATGTAGGAATAGAACTGTATAAGTAAATCAACCAGCCCCCTCACACATGAGCTCTTTTGTAAGCCAAGAGGAAACAGAATCTTCACCCTAATAAACATACCAGAATTTGTTTAAAAATAAAGAAAACAGAGACACAATGTAATCTTCCTTTGTTAAACTGCTGAATATAGATATAGAAAACCAGATCCTCAAAGGTGTGTAGTTATAAGTGTAAAAGTGTTGTCTAAAAATAGATTCTTATTAGTTGACTGGAAAAATCTGTTCAATACAAATTTTTAGATACTATGATGGGTACTGCTAAATTGCCCTCTAAAGAAAAGCACTATCAATTTGTTCTCCTACCAATTAGTGAGAGTTTCCTTATAATCACAGATACTTGACATTATTAAAACTTTTTAGTAGTTTTTGTAATGTAATGCCTCCTCAAATGTGACATATCATTTTAATTTGTGTCTCACTGATTACTGAATTTTAACATCTTATGTTTTTGGCCATTTGTGTTTCTTCAGCTATGAATTACTTGTATATATACATTGCCCATTTTTTTCTTTTACTTTCTTTTTCTTATTGCTTAGATTTTGCTCCTTATTCTGTTATGCACAGTACAAATATTTTCTCCTGGTTTGTCATCTTTCTGTTCTTTGTTTGTGTGTGGTTTCTGTTGCCACAAAACATTCTAGCCTTGGTATAGTCAGTTGTGCTCATCTTCTTTTAGGATTTTGGCAGTATGTGTTATAAAGTTAGTGCTTTTATCAGTTAGGATCTTATCAGGCAAGGGAAATCACATGATAACTGGAATAGGGAAAGTTAATTATTAACCATACCAGGGGATCAGATAACAAGAGATTGGCTTGTAAGATGTAAAGGACCCCTGAAGAATATAGGAATAAGCTATAAACCCCTAGCGCTCAGACTGAGCATCCCCTAAGACCTCCCCACTCCATCCCACCTTCTCCCACCCCCAGGGCTCAGAATCCAGATCATGTTAGAAAGCCTTTATTCCCTGGATGGTGGAGAAGGCAGCCATGGTGCCCTTGGTGCCCTGCTTGGACAATTTGCTGGAAATCTATACTCCAAATTCACCTTCTAGCGTGCATGGGGAGGTATTTTGCCCAAGGGAATAGGCTATGAAACTCCCTTGCAGTAAGCTAGGAGCTGCTGCTGGCCACTGGGTGCTGCTGGCTGCCATGCACTATAGAAGCCCAGCACTGGAGAAGATACCTGGGTGCTGAAGAAACCCAAGTGTGCTATAGGATCCTGCTGGGAGGAGCCCCAGAAATCAGGAAGGAGAGTATCTTCCTTGCAATATCTCTTCAGCACTCTCTACTGACAAAATTTAATATGATGCCAGCTGGCAAAAGAGAAATATTTAAAGGCTTAGCTTAATTTTCTGCAGAGCAACAATGAAATGTGGATTTGGAACCAAGGGGTAAAAAATTAACAACTGGCACAGCATTTTACTAGACCTGAGTTATATTTCTGTGCATGATTTGAGACAACCTTAAATGATGTTTTCTATAAAGATAAAATAAAATGGGAAACAAGGGGCCATCAATAAAGAAATGATTGAATAAACTATGGTACTACGATACTATAGATTACTGTATAACAATAATGAGATGTGTATCTAGATATATGTGCTACTATTATAAGATCTCAAAATCATATTGTCAAATGAAGATTAACATAAAATTTTAACTATAAAATACTAGGTATTACATTTGTACATACACACATATCATATATTCAGAAGTAGAAACCCCCCTAAGATTATTTTATTAGACTTTTTATAATTAACATCCACTTGCAAACCAACTCTAAAGCACCTCATATAATAACTGTGTTAGAAATATCTTTATGCAGTTTTTTGTTCTTTTTTAGCTAACCTCTTATTTATAGGTATCACAGAAATAGGGACACCTGAGTGGCTCAGTCGGTGAGCATCCGACTTTGGCTCAGGTCACAATTGCACAGTTTGTGGGTTTGAGCCCCGCATCGGGATCTGTGCTGACACCTTGGAGCCTTGAGCCTACTTGGGATTCTGTGTCTCCCTCTCTCTCTGTACCCCTCCCCTGCTTGCACTCTCTCTCTCAAAAATAAATAAACATTAAAATAAAAAAAGATGTCACAGAAATAAAGCCTATCTCAGGTCAAATTGGCTCAAATTTCAAATTACTAAAATTCTTAGAACTTGTAACTTCATGTAATAAAAATCTGTGTGTGGGTGTGTTTCTTTTAGGCAGATGTTGAAAAAATTATTGCAGTTGCCTGGTACATCTTTCAGCCCCTTCTGTTTGGACTGATTGGAGCAGAAGTATCTATTGCATCTCTCAGACCAGAAACTGTAGGTAAGAATTTCAAAGTAGTACTTTTGTTACAATCAACTTTTATATTCAGTGGAATACCTTTATTAGGTAAATTTATTGTCACAATTATATAAAAAGTTAATAATGATCTAAGTCTCTTCCAGGATTTGGCTAGAAAGTAATCTTTGTCAATCTAAGGCATAAATTTTATACCTTTAATATTATTCTTTGTAAAGAAAAGTAACACTGCTAACTACTATCTAGAAAATGCAGGTCTTAAAAGTTTTTTCTAAGGATAAAAATGTTCAGTTAGACTTGTTCTTATCAAGGGCCAGAATTGCAAAGATAACTACTCAGTTCTATAATATACACCCATGGAACAGAAATGTCCATTCGAGCATTCATTCATTTATTTATTCATATATTCGAAAGCCATCATATTAAAACTTTTTATTCATAACACCACATTTAAAAATTTATTGGTGCACATGTACACACTATTTCTTCTTTCTGCTCATTCCATATTCTTTCATCTTTACTAGGAATCCCATGTCCCTGCTACTTTCTTCTGGATCTCAACACATCGATTCTTCCCCTTTTCTCATATATCTTCAAATATCCATGTCACAGTTCTTTCCTCTTCAGAATTTAAATGAACTCTAATCTCTCCTATCTCAGTGTCTTTCCATTCCAATACATACTACAACATGGATGAACCCAGAGGACAAATACTGTATGATTCCACCTGTATGAGGCATCCGCAGTAGTCAGACTACAGAAACAGAAAGTAGACTGGTGCCAAGGACTTGGGGGAGGGAGAAATGAAGTGTTAAATAGGTCAATTTGCAAGATGAAAAAATTCTGAAGATTTGTTGCACAAAAATGTGAATGTTTAACTTAATGCTACTTACCTTGTACACTTAAAAATGGTTACGATGCGGGGGCTCTTGGGTGGCTCCGTCAGTTAAGCATCTGACTTCAGCTCAGGTCTTGAGTTCGAGCCCCACTTCCAACTCTGTGCTGACAGCTCAGAGCCTGGAGCCTGCTTCAGATTCTGTGTCTCCCTCTCTCTGCCCCTCCCCCTCTCGCACTCTCTTACTCTCTCAAAAATAAACATTAAAAAAAAAATCTTAATAAAAAAATGGTTATGATGGCAAATTTGTTACGTGCATTTTACCACAATTTATATTTATATATAAATATGTAAATACATAAAATTTCCTTTCTTCATTTCACTTCCCCCCCCCATCTACCATGCTTCTTCTTTATTCCTCTTTTCAAACTTTTCCAAAAGGTAACTGTATCTCCTTTTTCCATTTCAACTCTCACTCTGTTCTTCAAAACATCTCTGCCCAGCTTTCACCCATCGTACAACCATCCCTGCTCTCACAAGGTTATATTGCTAAATATACTGAATACTTATCAGTCTTTTTTTTTTTACGTGATCGTTCAGCAGCATTTGATGCTATTGACCTCTTTAAAATACATTTTACATTGAATTCTGAAACTTCGTATTTTTCAATGCCCTTTGAGTCCTCACTTACACTGTATATGGCTTAAATTCTACTCTTCATCCAAGTTCTTCCAAAGCATTCTGTGCTTCTCACTCTATGTCATTTTTCTGGGCTCATCTATATTCAGTAGCTTTGATTATAAACTATATAATTCCAAAATTTTTATCTGTAAATCAGTGTATCTAATTGCTGATTGGAAATCACCACTTGTAAATCTCACAAAACTTCCAAGTCACTATGTTCAAAACTTCTAAATCATCTTTTCCCCAAACCTTCAATGTTTCCTCCTGGAAATGAACCAAATCATCCCTTTGGTTTCTTGTACTTCAGGCAACAAGTACTTTTGAACCCTACCAACCTGATTTGCAACAAATGATGATAAGAGCAATGTCCTTCTATAAAGAGCCACAACACTTTTTTGTAAAGAAGCCATATTGCAGATTCACAGTAGATCCTCCAGCAATGTCTGTCTGGTGTTTTACTAACCTTTGAACTTGAGAAAGTCATTGATCCTTTCTAAACTTCATTTTTTTTTTTCAACTGTAAAATAAGAAACATTTCCCCACAGGTTGTAAGGATTAAGTAATGAGTGCACTTAAAGCTGAATGCAGAACCTAGCACACAGTAAACACTCAACAAATGTTACTTTTTAGAAAATCACCCTCTTAGCAGTCACCTTAGCTCAGGTTAGCACCTTTCTCAGGTTCAGTAGCCTGTAGCAGCCCTAGTCACAGTTCTTGTTTTGCAAATCAGGATGAACTTATCTCTGAGCAAAGGATTCTGAAGGACTGAATGAAGTATCTGTGCACGTTAACCAGGGCTAATGGGCAGTCAGTGTATACACCAATATGGTGAAACAGATGTAGACTGCCAGTGTCTATTCTGATAGGTCAGTGCCCAGCCAGCTCTGTTCTGATTGGCTAATTGCTTCCATACTGGCTGATAAGTATCTTTAATGTCACCTCTGGTTTATACTCTGTAAATAGTTCTCAACCATTTTGATGAAGACATTAATGTTTTCCTCCTCTATGACCTGTTACCAGTATGTTTATATTGCCCTTACCTTATAGCGTATTAATTAGCTGTTTATGCTTCTGTTCTCCTCTGACTTTGAATTTCGTAGAAGCAAAGTCTGCACATTATGCATTTTTGTATACACAATACGTAGTCCAAATCCTGTCATGCATAGTTATCATTTAATGAATTCTTGTGGAATAAACACATGGAAGAAAGTGTGGTTCTTGCTATACAGCTTAAAAGAAATAACATTCAAATCTCCTTTGTAATATATATCAAATCTCTCTCTCTCTCTCTTTTTTTTTTTTTTTTTTTTTTTTGCTATGGAGAATTTGTGCTCAACCTTTTTCTTTCTTTTATTAATTTTTTTTAATTTATTTATTTTTTAATTTACATCCAAGTTAGTTAGCATATAGTGCAATAGGGGCACTATATGATTTCAGGAGTAGGTACCAGTGATTCATCCCCTATGTATAACACCCGATGCTCATCCCAACAAGTGTCTTCCTTAATGCCCCTTACCCATTTAGCCCATCCCTCCACCCACAACCTCTCCAGCAACCCTCGGTTTGTTCTCTGTATTTAAGAGTCTGTTAGGTTTTGTCCCCCTCCTGGTTTTTATATTATTTTTGCTTCCCTTCCCTTATGTTCATCTGTTTTGTATCTTAAATTCCTCATATGAATGAAGTCATATGATACTTGTCTTTCTCTGACTGACTAATTTTGTTTAGCATAATACCCTCTAGTTCATCCATATATCAAATATATTTAATTAATTTCTGGTTTAATCTAGGAAAAATAACTTCTTTCAAACATGTGGTTTGATCCTTAATGTTGATGTTTTGATAAATTATGCCTAATCATCTTTGTCTTTTTAATTTTTTAATATATTTAGACAATTACAGTTGATAATATTTTGAATCAATAACCATGAGTTTCATTTTCTCCCTCAGTATTTCATTACATCTAAAAATTAAGTATTTCTTACAGGCCTTTGTATTGCCATCCTCGGCACTGCAGTATTGATACGAGTTTTGACTACATTTCTGATGGTGTGTTTTGCTGGTTTTAACATAAAGGAAAAGATATTTATTTCTTTTGCATGGCTTCCGAAGGCCACAGTCCAGGTAATAATGGATAGGATGGCTTAGCATCTTAACTCCTATTTATATATGGTATCTTGAACTTTTGAATAAGAGGGCTAATTCAAATTTGATGAAAAAATGTAATTGAAGACTGATTTACAAAAAGGGTTTATACTAATCTACTGTTTAAAAGTTTTATTTTGAGTATATTGATTTCCTAAATATGATGGCTCATTTAAATTTATCTAGATCACCAGATTTACTTAAATCAACTAAAAATCCAATATATCCCTACACTAAGCAGAAAGTAGTAGTCACAGGAAGAAAGTGTTTGAATTTTTATCAGTCAGAGTTCTCTAAATCACCCAGAAAGATAGTTGTCAATCTTTTGACAACTTTGCATTTCAATATCTTCCAAGAAGAGAGTGAAACAGAAATAGCATGGCCCATCTTAGTATTTGGAAATACTTCAGTGTCTGTATGACTAATGATCAGTTATGCTTGACCACAGTTTTTATATATAAAGGAGACAGATTTATTAAAAACAATTAGGAAAATGCTTTATTGCCTTCCTAGATTATTGGTTGATATTAAAATTTTCAAACTAGCCGAACCTCCTGTCAAATGTATCAATCACATGACCCCAAAACTGTGCACTCTCATGAGCAAGGCATGAACAAATAGGTGCTTGAAATTACTGACCACGTATTTGATAGAATTTAATTACTAATTAAATTACAACTGTGTAGATTATTATTTGTTGCAAATGTAATATATTTCTGATTATGTTCTATATTTTCAAACTAAACATAGCAAACAAGATTTAACTGTCTCTTCTCTGATTATTTTGCAGTTGTTTAAATATGCACATTTCTGTTTCATGAAATGAAAATCAGATGTTCTTAATTTAGGAAGCTTTTGGGGATATGTATACTCTGTAACTATGCCAGATTTTGTGTGGCTGTGAGCTTCGGCATTATTCCAGAGAAGTTTTCATTTCCATCAGACTTTCAAAGACGTCTGAGACATAATGGATAAGAATACTGTGAGGTTAATAGTACAGTAAGTGAAATAGTTTCTCCCTCAGAGTGTCTTCAGCTTCCTCACTACCTCTGGTAACTTTAGTGGGTAAATAGCAAATAATCACTCTAGTAGCTTTGGTATGAAAGATTTGTTTCTAAACATTAACATTTGGAAAATGACACTTTCCTGCTTTCAAAGCCAATTTTAAAATAAGGAAACATTATCCAGAACCTGTTGAATAATGTATGTTCTGTGAAGTAAGTATTGTATAAAAAATTTTTTCTCCTCTTGCCACTGCACAAGAAACAAAACTGTCTTGTATGTTTTTTCTACATTAGTGTTTTTCAAACTTTTTTGCTCATGTATACTATAAGAAATATATTTTAAATCACAACTCAGCATATGTACAAGCCCCAAAACACACATGCATACTCACACACACAACAGAAAATTGAAAACTACACATCGTAGTATGTGCAAATCTTCTCAGGAATTCTTGAAATGTTGTATTAGTTATGGTACAAGGTAAACTGCAATAACCAAGAACCTTCAAATAAATTATCTGGGCATTCCAGAGCTGGCAGGGTGGCTACTACCCTCAGCGTGTGCCTTCCATCCGTGAGTCCACCTAGAGAGCAGTCTACTAATAGCATTTATCACTTCTGCTTGCCTCTCAGTGGCCAGAACTTAGAAACATAGCCTCATCTAGTTGTAAAAAAGGCTGAAAAAAGTCTATTTGTATGGTAATTGACCAGCTGAAACTCAAGAGTTTCATTATAGAAGGATAAAGGGGCATTCAGATATTTGCGGGCAATTAGTAGTCTCTGCCATGTGTCTTATGCACACTGATATTTTCTCTTCTATTTGATTAGCCTCCAGGCTAACATTGTTGTGTTCTGGAATAAGGGAATAACCAGATCGTTTAATATATTATTTTGCCATGTGCACTGATAATACTGCATTTTGCCTGTAAAAAAGGAAACAAAAATTGTGTAAGGCTTTTCAAAAGCCAAATCTTAAATAAGACATTTTACCAACTCCCAAGGCAAAAATTAACTAAATACTGAATAACATTAATTTCAAGTTTTGAAGGTGCCTAACATTTTCAAGTTTCATGATGTTTAATAATTAGGCTCTAAAGCAAAACATATTCTTTTGTTTGTTGTTTAAATTTTTTTATATAATTTATTGTCAAATTGGCTAACATACAGTGTATACAGTGTGCTCTTGGTTTTGGGGGTAGATTCCGTGATTCATCGCTTACATACAACACGGGCTTTTATTATTATTGTTGTTATTTAAAACTTCACCATCTTCCAGTATCACTGCATTTTTTCATCTTGCTTTTTTTCTTAATTCAGAATTCTAAAGTTAAAAGAATGAGATGACCAGTAACATTCAGCTTTACTCAGGAGGAAGTTAGTATATAAGATCATGTTATAGTTAATTAATATTGTGAGTCTGCATTTGCCTTTTGTTTTGAAATATATTTGCCTGATACTTTTTGTAACCCTACCTTATGCAAATAGGTACATATGAATCACTATTCTTTCCCCAAGCAAGGACAGGGAGAGTTTTCAGACAAAACTAACTGCAGTATGCTTTGAAGGAAGACTAAGAACTTTCTTAGTTGAGCAAGAGAATAAGCCATTTGTTTTTGCAAATGAGAAAATAATTCACCTTTTTTCTGTGTGCTTGTCTTATGTTTACAATGTTACCTTTAAACTTGTATAGGCTGCCATAGGATCTGTGGCTTTGGACACAGCAAGATCACATGGAGAGAAACAATTGGAAGAATATGGAATGGATGTGTTGACAGTGGCATTTTTGTCCATCCTCATCACAGCCCCAATTGGCAGTCTGCTCATTGGTTTGCTGGGCCCCAGGCTTCTCCAGAAAGCTGAACATCAAAATAAAAATGAAGAAGTTCAGGAAGAGACTTCTGTACAAGTTTAGAGGTGAAGAGAGAGAATGCTGAATATAATGATTAGAAAGCTGCTACCAGAAGCTAATTTTATCAACTGCCAGAGGCTACTTTATCTAGATGGATATTGAGATATGTCATGTTTAAACCTTAAATGTAATAGAAACAAAAGTGTGGCTATTTCTTTAAAGACCATTTTCAGCCATTATCCTTTCCATTTGTATGGTAATATTCTACAACTCCAACCTGATTTCTCGACCTTTTTTTTTTT